GTTGTCTAAAATGTTGCCAGCAGGAAAATACTAGTATAACCCAGGCTTCTCTGGGCATGCCCAATGAAGCATTTGTGATAATGTCCCCTTCTCTCCTCCCTTCTCTTCCACTCTCCCACTCCCTAAATGTCTCTTAATAAAAACAAAACAAAAGAACAAAAGCAAATAAAACAAAACAAAACAAAACAAAAAAAACCTCTTCAATTTAATAACCTGGGTAGACAACCGAATGGAATTGACTATTTTGGGAAAGGATCCCTTCTTGCCCTAAATCTATGACACTTGTCCTTCTCTGGTGAGTCTGATTGGTTCCCTAGGCTTTAATATGATAGGCAGGGAGATGCTAATTCTCTAGGAAGCTGATAATTTTTTTTAATTAATTAATTTATTTTGAGTTTTCAACAATCACTTCCATAAGCTTTTGAGTTTTAAATTTTCTCCCCCTCCCTTTACTCCTTCCTCCTCAAGACAGCTTGCAATCTGATATAGGCTCTACATTTACATTCTTATTAAACATATTTTCACATTAGTCATGTTGTAAAGAAGTATTAGAACCAATAGGAGGAACCACAAGAAAGAAGAAGCAAAACAAAACAGAAGAAAAAAAGAGCAAATAGGGGCAGCTAGGTGGCACAGTGGATAGAGCACCAGCCCCGAAGTCAGGAGGACTTGAGTTCAAATCCAACCTCAGACCAAACACTTGACACTTACTAGCTGTGTGACCCTGGGCAAGTCACTTAAACCCAATTGCCTTAAAAAAAAAAGGCAAATAGTATGCTTCGATCTGCATTCAGACTCCATAGTTCCTTCTTTGGATCTGGATAGCATTTTCCATTATTAGACTTTTGGAGATGTCTTAGATCTTTGCATTGCTGAGAAGAGTTAAGTCTATCAAAGTTAGTCATCGTACAATGTGGCTGTTACTGTGTCCAATGTTCTGCTGGTTTTGCTCACTTCACTCAGCATCAGTACATACAAGTCTTTCCAGGTTTTTCTGCAGTTCACTTGCTCATCATTTCTTATAGCACAATAGTATTCTATTACAGTCATATACCACAACTTGTTCAGCTCCACTCCCCAATTGATGGACATCCCCTCAATCTCCAATTCTTTGACACCACAGAAAGAGCCGCTATAAATATTTTTGTACATGTGGGTCCTTTTCCCATTTATATGATCTCTTTGGGCTACAACCCTAGAAGTGCTATTGCTGGGTCAAAGGGTATGCACATATTTATAGCCCTTTGGGCATATTTCCAAATTGCTCCCCAAAATGGTTGGATCAGTTCACAACTCCACCAATAATGCATTAGTGTTTCAGTTTTCTCACATCTTCTCCAACATTTATCATTTTCCTGTTTTGTCATGTTGGCCAATTTGATAGTTGTGATATGGTACCTTAGAGTTGTTTTGATTTGCATTTCTCTAATAAATAATGATTTAGAGCATTTTTTCATTTGACTATAGACAGTTTTAATTTCTTCATCTGAAAACTGCCTATTCATATCCTTTGACCTTTTATCAGTTAGGGAATGACCGTATTCTTATAAATTTGATTTAGTTCTGTATGTATTTTAGAAATGAGGCCCTTATCAGAGACACTGGTTATAAAAATTCTTTCCCAGTTTTCTGGGAAGCCGATAATTTTTAGCCTGGAAGATTCTATAAATAGACCATTCTAGAACGGGGTGGTGAGGGGTGGGGTGGTGGTCAGGGAAAGAGTAGGGAGAGGCAAGGGGCAACTATTTGGTAGAGAAAGATCTAGCCCTGAAAAAACCAGAGGTTATCCTCAACCATAACAGTGACAGTAGATAAGGCTGTCAATTATATTGATGGTTGGATACTTGACATTTAATTTAACCAGCCCTTTCAAATTTCTTCTTTTGGAAAAAATATTTTTCATTTGTCGATGTTAATTTTGTTTACCTTACAAGCAACCTAATTGCTGCATGATTCTTTTAATAAGGAACTGAGTGTGTGTGTGTGTGTGTATGGGGGGGGGTGCATTTTAGGGGAAACATTAATTTAAATTTTCAACAATTGCTATTATTCACAGAAAGTCAGCTTCTACCTTTGAGCAGATTATGATAATAATAATAGTTCACATTTATATAGTACTTTAAGAATTGCAAAATTTTTAATATTGTCTTAATTCCCTCAAGAACCTTTCGAGGTTTTTGCTCTTATTATTTCTATTTTGCAAATTAGTAAACTGGGGTTCAGAAAGGTTGTTACTTGCTCAGAGTCACAGCTAGTAAATACCCGAGGCAGGATTTGAACCCAAGTATTCCTGATTCCTAGTTTTGATTTACTACACCATGCTGCCTTCAGATGATTTCTGAATTTCTACCTCTAGGCTTAACTTGATTTCTGAACTCCAGACCCACATCTTCAGTTGCTTATAGTCCATCTCCATCTGGATATCTCACCAGAACCCCAGACCTAACACATCTAAAATTTGTCACATAAGCTTTTCACTCCTGATTTTCCCTCTTTCTGACTTCACTATTTCCAGAAGCTGTGAGGTGACACCATAGTGCCACAATGGGCCTGCAATCAGGAAGAGATGAGTTCAAATGCAGCCTCAGACACTGGGTTTCTGATCCTGGACAAGTCACTTAATCTTTGCCTCACTTTCCTTACCTGTAAAATGTGCTTAATAATGGCAGCCACTTCAGAGGGTTGCTGTGAGGATCAAGTGAGATAACATTTGTAAAGTGCTTAGCACAGTGGCCAGCATATGGTACACAAAATATAAATGCTTTTTCTTCTTCCTCCTCCTCCTCCTGTTCCCTATCTCTGCCAAAGACATAACTATTTCCCATTTGAAACTTTGGGGTTATCTTATTCACAGCTCACAGAAAGGACCCCAGAGATTCTCTAGTCTAATTTCCTCATTTTAAAACTCAAGTGTTCAAATAGTTCTGTGATTTCAAAGGTTTGGGAGTTCCCTCTAAAAATATAGCTGTCAACCATTCCATACCTGCCTATTCCATGCCACTATTTCTGCCTATAATCATATATTTTCCAGGGGTATATGCCTCAAAAAATGTATAATCCAGTCCTATGAGTTGACAGAGACCCAGATACTCTGCATAAAAAATTTTAGGACCTCCTATATTTCAAATTTCAATTCATATTTGAAACTGAGCAGACTGCAGAAAATTTTAGTTTTGGTTCCTAGCCCAGGAGGTGAGCTTACAGTTTAATGCAAATGAGACTGATAAATATCTCTGCACAGTTAGTTTTCTTGTGGGTGTTTTTCTTGGTAAAAGATGGTGAAGTTTAATGTTTGTGTAAGTTTAGGTCCTGGGCCCCACCTAACTCCATTTAGTTAAGAAAGAGGTAGGCTTAAAGCCATCCCCTCTGGGCCTTTGCATTTGGGACTGAGTTCAAGAAAAGCTGGAGAATTGTAGCAGCCTGTAACTGTCCTTTAACCTTCAAATAAAAAAATTAGGGTGAAAGTTAAAAATCAGTTGGCATTACTTTGAAGCTCTTCCCCTCCTCCCCCACCTTTTTTCTGCTGATTGACTAGAAGAATAAAAGACTATTCAAGTTACAACCTTTTAGCCTCCCAAATACATAGCATGACAGTACTTGTTTTGCAGAACCTGAAAAAAAAATCCTAAGTGCTTATTGAAAGTTGAGTTGTTGTTCAGTCGTATCCAATTCTTTGTGACCCCATTTGTGGTTTTCTTGGCAAAGATACTGGAGTGGTTTGCCATTTCCTGATCCTGCTCATTTGACAGATGAGGAAACTGAGGCAAACAGGGTTAAGTGACTTGTCCAGGGTCACACAGCTTACAGTAAGGGTCTGAGGCAGGATTTGAACTCACAAAGATGAGTATTCCTGACTCTAGGTCTGACACTTTATCCACTGCGCCACCTAACTCAAATGGAAAAGTCAAGTACCGCACTATAATTCTGAGTGGCTTCTTAATCAGTGAGGTGTAGTAATTCACCTGATTTTGAAACTGTCCCTATATATTTGGATCCCAAGAACTGGGGCCTATTTGTCTTCCCTCATTTATCTAGTATGACATTTCAGCCTGTTTTGTCATCATTGTGATCACTTATTTGAGTGGCACAAGTTTAAAAAAAAAGAGACCATCTGTTACAGTGATTGAAGTCCATAAATGTGTAATAAATGTCATCTTTATGATGAGATCATGTCTTAGGAGGGAGAAGTCTCACCTTTAAGTGAAAATAGCACTGTGCTGATCCAGCGCCAACAGCAAATATTAGTATTAGGGAAGCACATGTGATGGAAACCATTGTTCCTGCAAATGACAGATTGAACTGAGTTCCCAGGTTGTGTGCATTTAGCAACTGATAATACAAAGAAAAAGAAAAATATTTTTTCTAAGTGTTTTGTCATATGAATAATGGAATGCTTGTGGATCCTATTGTCTTGGACATGACCCTTTATTGGAATTATTTTACAAGCTCAAATTCAGGCCCAGAGACTTTCTCCATATAAATGTTTTAAGTATTACAGCAACACATCCATCACATTTTTTGGTTCAAATTACAAAGATAACCTTAAGATATGGACTTTAGCCTGGGCAATGTGATACATACACAGAAAGGGGTGAACCTCTTTAGTGATGAAATCAGCCAGTGCCCAGGAGGAAAGTAATAGGCAGAAAGGATAGAGTTGATGAAAAAATTGATTCTTTTCCATTAAACTGTACGTGATGTGTTTGTGTGAAGGAGGCATCAGCCAAAGGAGAAATATTTTCTTCAACTAAAAACAGACTGATGGTAGGGGAGGGTAGCAATCTGTATGTAGGTTGTGAGCAGAGATGAATTGCATTTCATTAGTGGTTTAAATAATGAGAAAGTTGTAAAGCATTCCAGTGTGGTCACTCTGGAGATTTCCTGGGATTAGATGTGTCTAAACTTCTAATGTGAATAATAGCTCTGTTTTCTTAAAGCATATTTAAGACTTCGCTCATTCTCAGTTCATTCGTTGAAAGACTTTGTTTTTCTTATTCCAGGCCTACCGAAGATGCAGGTCATTAAGAATTACACTGGAACCCCACAACCTCCACAACACGAAGGACCTCCTTTGCATATCCAGATGGGGGACACAGTGGAGCTTTTGAGAGGAGATGCCCATAGCTTATTTTGGCAGGTACTCTCTGAAGTATGAATTCCTGATCTGGTGGGTGAGTCACACCCACTTGAAAAAACAAGGCTCTCGGTTTCAGAAGCAGCTTGTGTGTGTGTGTGCATTTAACTCTCTGACTGGTGCATAATTCGCAAAAGGTTCTTCTTAGCTAGGTCCAACTGGCAGAGCATCCAATAGCATGGATTGTCAAAAACCTGAACAATATCAATGCCTTTAGTCATATCTACAATTTCAGCAGTGGCGGCAGGGAGTAGAGGCTAGAGTGCTAGGTTTTGAATCAGAAAGACCCCACATCAGGTCTTGCCTCTGAAATATACCTACAGCAAGTCATTTTAACTTCTCAGTGCCCCAAGGCAACTCTAAGACCATAAGTTTCAGAACAATTACAGATCTGCATTGGTTGAGAGATTTTTAAGTCAATGAAATCACAGAACCAGATAAAAAATTAAATTAAATCATGTATCGTGTTACCTGAGAGCATAACCTTCATTTTTGCATACAGGGATTATGGATATGCTAAATGACAAACATTTATTATGCATCTGCTCTGAGTAGGGCACTGTCCTAGGCATTGGGAATATGAAGACAAAAATATATCCTGGACTTTCAATGAGTTCACATACTACTTGTGGAAGACAAAATGTAGGCAAATAAGGAAGTATAAGATATGTAGGAGATATTATACAATAATATAAATTTCAAGAAGGAGAGAAGGCTAATAATTATGATGATCTAATATGCAAGAGAGCAAGTTCAGTTTGGAGAGACTTTCTCATTATCTTGTCATTGTCCCATATCTTGTTATGTTAAGAATTTGAATGTGACCTTCTTGAGGACCAGGACATTCCTCCCCCACCCCCAGCTGCCCTTTGTATCCACAGCACTTAGCACACAGTAGACATATAGTAGAAACTTAATAAATGCTTGATGATGATGATGGTGGTGGTGATAGTCATGGTGATATTTGGGTCAGTGTTTCCCATGCCCATTATCTCTAATTCTCAGAAGGACTTAAAGTCATCCCTGCTGAAATAAATGGAGTATGAAAGGTACAGGAAGTTATGAGACTTTCTGCTGTTGAAACCTCTCTTGATTACAAAGGCTACTTTTGACTTTAGACTATAAACTAGAGTTAGGTTGTAGGGTGTGAAGAGGAGGACAAAGCAAGTTCCTAGACTTATGCATGAGTTAAAGTCTGATAAGGGCAGAGAAGAAAAGGGGTGGATGTTGTCCATTTGTGAATATTTGTAAGGTATAAGGTGACTGCTAAAATGGAGTGGTTTCCATAGCAATCCTGTACCACATGACAGTATCTGCCACTTTGTCACAGAGGATGGCTCTTTGATTGAATGCTCATATCAGATTACAGATTTCAGTGAGTGTAGCTTTTGCATTGTTTTAAAGACAAATGTTCTGATTTGGAAAACATGGAAATATGATCTCCCACTCTGCACCCAGGACGTGTCTATTTTTGGAGTTGCTTCTCTAAAAGCCAGGAGTAGGAGCAATTTTGTATTTATAGGAAATCACAGAGCACTTGGTAATGATATAGGAGGATATTGGTTGGAAGTAGTATTTTCAAAATTGTTTCCTCTTGTTCTTTGGAGTAAATATTGATTTCCATTCAATATAGTTTTAGCTGGTTTATAAAATTAATTAAGCAATCAACAAGCATTTTTAAAATACCTACTATGTGTCAGGCATTTTTCTAGGAGATACAAGTACAAAGAATGCAATAGTCTCTTGTCTCAAGAGGCTAATATTTTAGTGGGGGAGACAAGTACAGATATAAATATATCCAGTATACATATCCATATATAAATATATAATGTTATATATACTATATATTGTATATAGTATTATATATGCATGTGTGTGTGTGTGTACACACATACACACACACACACATGCACACATAAGCTAAATACAAGGTAGTTTGGGAAGCAACATACTACCACTTTGGAGAACTGGGGAAGACTTCATATAGAAGGTAATACTAAAGCTATGTCTAAAAGGAAAAGAGAGACTCTAGGGTTAAAGTAAAGAATGTTTGCATTCCAGGCATGTAGAATATTCAGTGCAAAGACCAGGAGATTGAAGGTAGTGTTTCCTGTGAGAACAGGGTAGTGTGAGTGGATCAAAGAATGTGAGAGGGAGAATAAAGCTTCTTCCCACCTTCCTATTATTTATTTATTTGTACAATTAACTGTTATTATTTCTAATTCTGGTAGATTTATTGCAGTTGTGTTATTAATGAACTAGACAAGAAAAAATTTGGTAAGACATAATCTTTTCCACTTACTCTTATATGCTATCTTCCTCTATTAAAATGTAAAACTCTTGAGGGCAAGAGATTGCTTTGCTTTCCTGCATTTGTATCACTGGGCAGCTAGGTAGTACAGTGGATACGTGCCAGGCCTGGAGTCAGGAACACCTGAGTTCAAATCTGGCCTCAGACACTTACTAGCTGTGTGACCCTGGGTAGCTCACTTAACCCTGTTTGCCTCAGTTTCGTCATCTGTAAAATGAACTGGAGAAGGAAATGGCAAACCCTTCTAGTATCTTTACCAAGTAAACACCAAATGAAGCGTTGGACGTGACTGAAATGACCGAACAACAACATTTGTATCACTAGAGCTAAGCACAATGCCTGGTGCATAGTAAGCAGTTAATAAACATTTCAGCTCTATCCATCATCTATCTGCCTATCTTTCCATCAATCTGTCTTTCATCTGTCTAATTACCTGTCTATCTTATGCATCTGTCTGTCCTTCTCACACTGAAGTATCTCTGAGGTTCTTTCTGTCTGCCTCTCAGATTCTGTGCTTTTGTGATTATGTTGCAAAATACCTAGGGTATTGCCTGATTATTATCATTCCCAAAAGAGGATGGCTCAGGGTAGTCCCTAATGCTGAGATGGTTTGACCTGACTGCTCAATTGAGATAGAAAGATTCCTGAATCTTTCCTTAAGACTTTGGCCCAAACAAATTGATACCGATATGTCTTGGAGCTAAACCTTTCCGGATAAATTGCCTTTCAAGATAAGTCAGATCAGTTAGCATAAATTGAGAAATAATCCTAGCCTTGAAAGCAGAGGACTGAAAACCAAAAACAAAACATTTCTCTGCTAGTGAAGTGATTTAGGTCAGGGTAAAATACTCTAATGAAGCTTCTGATTTCTACACCTTCTAGGCAGTCTTCTACGCTCCCCCCATCCACCCCGCCCCCCAAAAAAAACCACAACAGTCTTGTGTAGCAGTGTAGCAGCAGTTACATTGTCCCATAGCCCATCATGTTTCCCACATGCTGTCTGCCCAAACGATACAAATTATTCTCCTTTCAGCAACTGTCTTTGAATATCTATTAGTGTAATCTGTATCATTATTATAACAACAGTAATTTCTAATGCCATGGGAGTGAGTGGTCCCTGCATCTTCATTATCATTTCTTTCAAACAACTGTGCTGTCAATTGAACTGAGAAAATGCACTCTGTTCAAACTTTGTACTGAAGAAATGAGTTTGGAGAACCTTATCTTTTCCTTTCTGCCTCTCTCTCTCTCTCTCTCTCTCTCTCTCTCTCTCTCTCTCTCTCAACAAAATCATTCTGAAAGAAAATGAATGTAAAATAGGAAATTGCCGGTTTGGGCACTTTGCCAATTGCAGGTGGAAGGCACAGCTTTTACTGGGGATCGCTATCACAGAAACATTCTCTACACGTAATTTTCTGAATCACCAGAAATCTGTTGACTTTAAATTCTTTTTTCCCCCCACAAAATCACAAAATGGAGTTTTGGTACCTGTTTTGTTTGTAACCTGATGAGAAAACTTATATATATATATATATATATATATATATATATATAAAATATATTATAGAAATCAGGGAGGTGAGGTGGGGAGCTAATGTAAAAATTGCACCTGACTTCCCCCACCCCCCAGCCCAACCAAACATATAAACAAACAACAACTTATATAGTCATGGGGTCCTGTTGGTAGCTCAGTGTCTTCTTATACATTTTATTTACTCCAAATACAACACAAAACAAAAAAGATGCTTTGACTGATATAAAAATATGTTTAATATGAATGTATATGTAGAGCCTACATCAGATTGCATGCCATCTTGGGGGGGAGGGAGGGGAAGAAAACTGAAAACTCAAAAGCTTATGGAAGTGAATGTTGAAAACTAAAAATAAATAAATAATAAATAAATTAGAAATTAAAAAAAAGAAAAAACAAATAAGATGCTTTTTGCTTCATGATCAGGCTTTCTTTCCTACCTTTGATTTAAGACGATTGTAAAGTAATGACAATGATGATGATGATGATGATGATGATAGCAGCTCACATTTCTATCATACTTTAATATTTTAAAGCATTTTCCTCAGAAGAGTCTGGTAAAATATCTATAGTTATGTATTGAGTGGGTTAGGGGCACAATGCCCCTGCGATCTAAAAAATCTGTGTAAAATTTTTGGCCCTTGGCTTCATACCAAAGAAGTCTGAATTATTACGGCATTGAAAGATAAAACATATTGCTATTATACAATACTATACATATATTTTATGCGTATCTGAGTTTCTAAACTTTTTCTCTGTCATCTGCTGGCCTTCTCATGTGTTGTCTGTGGCTTCTGAAAAATTTCCAAAAAATTCCCATTTAATTTCTTATGCTGACCCACAGCATATTGAAACTGTGTTGGGGAAAGCTGTGATGTGAAGGGGAAAACTGTTGTATAAAGGATATTACCCTCATTTTGTAAATGAGAGAACCAAGGTTGAGAGAGATTTGGGGACTTTCACGGTTATATAGCTATTAAATAGAATGGTCAGGATTTGAACTCCAAACCATTTATTTTATATCTAATGCTCTTTCCACTATACTACTCTGCCTCTTAATAACTCACATTTTTGTAGCCCTTCAAAGTCTTTTTTTTATTACTATTCTCTTGGAGGCAGCTAGATGGCTCGGTGGATAGAGCACTGGGTTTGGACTCAGGA